CCTTGCAAACGGCCTCCAGGTCCCAAGTCCAACAGCTGCAGGATGCCGAGCAGAAACCCGACGAGTGCGTGTATCTCAGATATCATCGGAGCAGCCCCCCCCCCCCCAAAAAAAAAAAAATCCTTGAGACCTTCGAGGCGCTTAACGGGCCCCGTGCCTCCAAAGTGTCTAATGCGGTCTTTCCCCACGCTCGAAAAATCAGACATCCGGCGATGACGTCATTGACCTCTGTTTCAGAGCGACTTGGGCGCCTCGAGCATCCTCCTCCGATCCCTCTCCGCTGCCCAAGGTCAATCCAGTCTCTTGCGCCATCCATTCTAGAGAACTTGAATGAATTCGTTCCCCCCGCCACAAGCACCGCCCAGAAACCGAACTGTCCCACTCATAAATGTTACTCGTTCTGCGATCAGGTGAGGCGAGGCTTGACGTGGTGCATCAGGCAGGCGGCCAAGGGACGGGAGTCCGAGCCGGGGAGATGCTTACACAGGCTCGTGAGCCGGCACATTTGGCGAAACTGACTGCTTCGGGATCCATCAGACAATCATCAGACGCCTGATGTTCCATCCGTCCGTTGGAGGAACATTTGCAACCATTTCCCGTTCAATTTTTCCAATCGAGTTGTGTGTGTGTGCGTGTGCATTTCCCGAGATTATGCCCTTCCGTACGATGAAAGGAAAGTTACTTAAAATGTAACATGCAAAATAATAACTCCCCCGATTCGCGGCTGACATAAGACTGCTGCCAAACTCAATCATGGGAAAATTCCTTTGCGGAATCCAAACATAATTTTCACGTGGTAAAGTTCTAAATAAAAGAAATTGTAAGCACTCTTACGAGTTTGTAATTTGTAATTTCTGTGAAGCACGGCGTGGAAATGTTCCGGTTGGACATCACCAAGCTCGTCGTCGAATGTAATCTAATATCCTAATTAAACCTAATGAAGTATCCGGACTTTGCTTTTGTATATAAAACGATTGACAGCCAATGCGTGTTACGTGTCTTTCTTCTCCAGGATGTTTGTGCAGTCGTGAATTTTTCACGACGCTGACGTCAATCGATGCGATATGAATAAATGAGCGTGGACTCACTGTCACAGTGGCACCATCTTCGCGGCAACCGACAGCGATCGACGTCTCCTCGATCGACCTCGACGATGGCCGATGAAGTCGGCAGACGAACGGCTTGCCATCGCGCGATCTCGGTCGGGATTCCTCCCCGTCGATTCTTCTCTCGTGTTTTCACGGGAGCTGCCGAGCATCGACATGCTCACGTCGTTTCCCCGACTGGTGGACGAAGCCGAATCGCCTCCACGGCCTAGCTTCGCGACCTAGGCAAAGTCCATCGCTCGAGAAAAGGAAACCGATGGAGACCTCCCGCTCTCCGTCGCCCTTCGCGCCGGGGGACAGACTGAAATCTCAACAGATCGCCGGAGCCAATCGGAGGCCACTGGAATCAAACGTCGCAGCTCCCGCCGACCAATCAGACTCGACTGGAAGCAGACGACGCGGTTCGTGCCGACCAATCGGACTCGGATCTCGAGCAAACGTGTCGTTCGCTCCGAACGTCAAAGTGGACTCGCCCTGAGGCAAAGAGCTTCTTTCGTTTGAACGTCGAGTAGCGTCTTAAATGTACATATCGTTGTGTTTTATCCAGGATAGTGCTTCAGATGTCAGGTGATGTATGTCCTGGAGGCTGCCAGAGAATTTTCTCTTTCAGCAATGCGTCATGATGTGTTGCTGGGTTTCATCAGGGGCTCGCAATCACATGAAGATGGTTTAATTTTCCATCTACAGAAGAGGTGACCGCACCTCCCGTGTCCGGCGCGGATACGGTTCATGGTCGACCGCTGTTAGCGGGGAAGTGACGCTCCTAGAGGCTGTTAAGTAGGCTCCAAGTCTAGGTCTCTGTTTGGGACATTGAATCGTTCCAGGCCCTCTCTCTCCATTGGCCCTCTAGGCTTGAGTTCAGAGACTCAAGCATTGCAGCAGCAGTTGTGGGATTATTGTTCCGCAGGTACTACCGGTGGCGGGTCTCGCTCTCTACAGACCAGCAAGCCGCTTAGCGGCGGCTTTTCTGATGCCGATGAACCTGTGGAAGGCGTCTACCCTTGGCGGTACTCATTTGATGTTGGCGTCTACCCTTGGAGGTACTCATTTACTACTGGTACTGGCGTCAACCGACGCTTGGATGATTTCCCAGCCGGCTTTCTTGAAGCTCCGCCGAGGTTCCGCTGTCGATGTTATGACCGGGACCTCGATGCTAACATGGACGACGACGAGCTCATGTTGGCTATTAGGAAAGTCTTCCAGGATGGTCCTTGGAGCAATGATGGGGCTCCCGTTGTTGTCTTTCGATAGGAAGCCCAGGTCGGGGGTGGAACCCCTCTGCCACCGTGCAGAGAGATACGTCCCTCGGTCCTTCGCGTCGAACAGGAGGAGGTCTCCATTGAAGACCAGTCGGAGATTGTCTCCCCGTTGTCGTCGGTCTTTCCATTGCCCCACGTCGTGTGGTGGCTGTTAAAAACCACCCAGATGAATAGCAGGATATCGGGTTGGAAGTAGCGGTGGGTCAGGCCACTGCACGAGTGAGGGAGGTCGTATACGTTGGTGATTGTTAGGTCGCCAACTGGTATGCTCGTATGCCAACTCGTGGGTAAAGGGCGTCTCCATGGTGTGAAATTTCCCAACAGCCCATGTGTGCATATTGAATAGGAGCTTTATTTCCATAGAATAAATAGAATATAGAACCGGGATAATAGAATAAAGAATTGGGATGGATGGTCGCCGCCCATGCATACTCGACAGGAAAAAGATTGGATTCCACTGGCCCCAGAGGAGGATTCGTCCACGGTTAGGGGACCCCAAAGGGAATTTTCATCACAGATCCTTACCACATCGTATCGATTATATGATTGAGTGTAACCTCGAAGGTGACGTGCTCGGTAATACAGTATTACCCCAAACGAAACTATCTACTTCTGAAGCCCAAATGTGTGAAGCAAAAGCCAAAGGTGCACACCGGAACTCATCCACGCGAGCCCAGAAAGACAGAGAGAAGAAAAAAGGTCCCCCCTCAAAAAAAAGCAATATCCTTGCATCGAGAACTCGGTAGCCGTATCGTTCAGTCGAGAGAGCGTTTCTTGCGCCCCCCGACGCCCGGAAGGCTCCCGAAGAATTGAGGGAAATTGCTGAGCATCTGCTGCACGTTCCCTTGGCCCTGGACCCTCAAGACATCTCCCAACTGCCTCATGATATCCGTCGCCTTCATCACGTTGGAATTGGAATGCCCGAAATCGCTCCTCGAGAACTGCCCGAGCGAATTGATCGCCCGTTCCTGATCTCCCCATCCTTGATCCGTGAGCCACTGCCTCAGCGCCTGCTCGTTCGTCTGAGTGAAGTCCGACCCCGGATCCACTCCCGCCTCGGCCGCGTGGGCCAGGAACCACGTGATCGCCGTCCGATTCAGGCTCCCCGTGTTCAGGCCGAGCTGGTTGAACCAGCCGTCGATATCCTGCTGATGCTGACCCAGGGTCCCGTTCCCTTGCTCGATCCAAGTCGCGAGCTGCATCCCGTGAGCTCGCAGCAGCTGAGTGATCTGCGCGTCGTTCTGCTGGAACCAGTTGGCCATGTCTTGGCTCATCCCTCCGTACGCCTGCCTCGACTCCCCGAGGCTGCTCTTCAGGAAATCCTTGAGCTGAGAAGGCATGCTCCCCAAGGCGGATTGGATCGCCGCCTGCAGCTGACTCGGGTCCACATTCTGCAGCATCTGGGCCATTCTTTCGAAGTGCTCGCCCATGAATTCCGGGTCTCTCATGAGGCTCAGCATGGGGTTGAAGCCTGGCGGGAGTTTAGGGCGATTTGCGTTGCTGTTGTCGTCGATGCTGTTGCCGCTGCTGCCACCGTTGCCCCAGGGCATTCCCTGGAAAGGATTTCCTCTCCTCTTCTTTCGTCCTCGTTTCCCCCCCCTTCCGCCTTCGTCTCCGCCGCCGCAGAAGCATTTCGCCGTCGGGTTCCAGTAGAAGCCGCCAGTGATGATGTTCTTGCTGCCGGCGTAGACCATGTCGCCATCTATAAATCACAGGCGAGGTTTCGGGTAAACCCAAATACAACCCGAAATAGAGTTGAATAATCGAGACCGTACCGATCTTCCATGCAGTCGGCATGAGGTCACTCCCCGTGTCCCCCACCATATCCGAGACGTCCAAGCCGACGGCGCTGACGAACTTGAGGAGATGGGAGCTGGCCACCTGCCTGCACATGGCATCTTTCATCTGGGCGCTCATGTTTCCCGCATGCAAATCTTCTCTCTGTCCGAATCCCACCTGCATGTTCGCCCCCTTCATCATCGCCTGTTGCTTCTGCAAGTAAAAGGAGGTCAGTGTAGTCATCCATCCGGGGAAGCGGAGTCGAATATGCCAACAAACATGGCGGCTGTTCTACGTTCCCCTCTGCTCTGTGCTGCTTCTGCTGTTCTCGTTTCATAATGTGTTTCTACGCTAGTCGGTAAGTCGATCTCTGTGAGAACCGCATTCGACTCGTACTCTTCCCCTATGGTTACTTGCTCTGCCGTTTTGAAACCTCGAAAAAGCGATGTTTCGCTGCGAATTCCTGTTCACGAAGGACGTCATTTCGGGTAGGAGCACGATGATAGGCCCTTCGAAACCTCAGAATAAGGCATAGCCGTTTTCACATTCTCCACGAAGCTTGCATAGATTTCTAAATGTGACGCTTGTTTCACTCTTATTGCATGAAGTTGTTTACTTCTTATGTTATACGTAGATATTTGAGGATGGTTGTTTTCCACTCGGCCTGGATTTAGTCCGATTCAACCCCCTTATTCCAAGTTTCTTCTGGATTTTTTTTCCCTAGAACTAGATGAAAAGATTTCGTCTTCAAAGAATACCATGCGAATGAACTCGGAGATGACGTCCAAAGTGCCGTTGGAAAATGCGCTCAGCGTCTTCTTCAGCATGTCCATGTAGCCCTTGATGTCGGTCTTTTCCGTGTCGTTCAGATTCTGCTTGGCATCCAAGGCCACAAGGTCCTTGTCGACTCCTTTAAGGACGGCGCTAATCAGAAGCCGAACGTCCTGTGTGGTCACCGGCAACCCCGATTTCACTTCCTTGTCCTCGAACCAGGCTCTATAATGAGTTATGGCAATTCGATCGTATGAAGAACGACGATGATGGCACACCTATTTGCAAACGAATTCGTACCACCTTCAACATCGGCACCGAGGACTTATCCTCGAAATTTTTCGTGGGTGGTAAGAACCCAAGTAGCACATAGGGGCTGGCCCATTACCTACATTTGGGGAAGAGAGCTGGTGGCCCGCCAACTTCACTTGGTCGTGCATGAACATGTCTTACTTGCACTGGCCCGCCACCTACCAGGCCGCTAAAGGGCCAGCACATTACCAATTAGCTCTTTTGTGGTGTACCACCAGCTGGGAAGGGTCCTAATGCCTTCATGTATATCCGATTAATCTACTTTATAATTCTTGGCATAGAGTCTACTCAAGAGTACTTAAAACGACCCACCGCTTTCTTCTTCCGCATTCAATACAGACACCTGGAGCGGTGAGCAGAAGCTTACGATAATCAAGATATACCATGAACATAATATGAAAATAGGAAGCTAAATTTCTCTATCTCCCCCTAGTTTTGTACACTTCTGAATTCCCATGCTTAACTTCAGCATATAATAATTTCCCGAGTCATATAATTGCTATCAAAACATCATAATTTCACGTTTTCCTATTAT